GCTGCTCAGGCCCAGGCCACGCGCCAGTACACACGTATCTGCATGTACCCATTTCCATCTGCTGTCTTCCAGTAGTCTGTACACTGGCACAAGTTTAACTGCAACTCAGATTTAATCACATCCCTAATATTTTATTGTTCACATCATGAGAATTCTCCCACATACCCACATTTCCTAATCTCTCCTTTTTATTTTTATAAGACTAATTAAGATGTTGAAGTGAAATAAATTGTGGGGTGTCTTTTTTAGCCAGAAGCCTTGCAATTCTCCACACAACATCTGCATGAGTTATCAGCTGTGGATGTGCCAGCTGCATAAATTTAAACAAAACACCCTGAAAATTTTTAGCCCAAAAGTAGCATCTTCTCCTCCACCAAGTGATTTGATTCAAGCCTGTAAACGTAAACAAGAGCATTAGTTACATTAAAAATCCTGTTAAATTCTGCTATGTTTTTTAAGATGCTCAGAGCATCTGCCACAACAGAAGCCAGCTGATTATTCCCCAAGAAAACCACAGGACCTTTGTCTTCCTCTGCAACTGGATCTGTGCCGCAGGAGTGCGTCAGCCTCAGAATCCTGCCCGCAGCTCTCATCTGTTGTCACTCTGAGCTCTAAAAATTTCCAGTGTTCAACCACGTGAAACACCGAGCACAGACAACATGGCACGAAGAGCAGCGTCAGTTCTGCCTTCCTCACTAGCCCATGCAGAGGATCTGAGCCCCTGTCAAGAGCCCAGTAGAGACAAATACATCCTCATTTGACACACTACGGAGATGGATACTTTAATCCTCTTTGTGAAATTTAGCCTTGTACCTTGTTGCTTCCAAGGTTTCCAGAGTGTGACACAACTGAAAGGAACCTGAAAAGAGTATTAATATGATCAGAGATAGCATGTTCAGAAAAACTTGATTTGTGGCTATCTATACACCACTCTGGGAAAGCATCTGTATTCTTACAGGATAGACTGCTTTAGCATCAAAATATTTTGGTTTTAATACACTCCAGCACACAAGAAGACACTGTGAGATATACCATCAAAATATATACCCATTTTGAAGTGTCCAAGGAAAACACATCCCCTACTTAATTTTGTATTCCATAAAGAGATCACAGCTTCCACATGCATCCTATTTATCTCATCTCAAACAGGCAGTTTGATGTGGATTATTTTAAAATTTCCTTGCAGTCATGAAAGAGTATTAGCCATAAATACAACTAGAAACAGGAAATATCATCTCTTTTTGTTAAGCAGCCTAGTGGTTTGACTGAAATTGAATTAGTTTTCCTCATGCACTTGGAAACTTCTCTTTCTCATAGATAGCATGGTCATTGTTTGAGTTTAGTTCAAGAAGGAATGTAAGAACTTACTGATATCTTAGCCATTACCAGGGAAACCAAGGTCTTCCGAGGTTTCCTATCTGTCAGGTGTGGGGCAGCTAGGAAGGAGGGCACAGATGGACAGACCGTGACTGACATCCAGATTAATCAATTAGAGTATTCCATACCATCAGTGTCATGCTTTGTATATAACTGGAATCAGCTTTTCCGGCTCATCAGAACAGACCTTTTCAGGAGAACCGCTCCAGGCAGAACCGTCCCGATTCAGTTCTGTTTGAAGTCGGCCTTTGGGCATCCCTGCCTTTCTTGTCTCTTCGCGAGATCAGCGCTGGACCGGAGTGCTCTCTTCCCAAGACTGGCTGCTCGACACAGGCGGAATTCATGAGGAATTGCATTTTATTTTGTGTATTAGTAGTAGCATTATTAGTAGTATATTAGTATTATTTTGTTATTTCTATTAAACTGTCTTTATCTCAACCCATGAGTTTTCCCTTTTGTCCATTTCTCCTCCCCATCCCGCTGAGGGGGAAGGGGAGGGCTGAGTGAGCGGCTGCCTGGTGCTTCGTTGCCAGCTGGGGTTAAACCACGACAAGCAGTGACACTGACTTTGAAACAAAATCCATGTCCCTCTACATAATATGATCCTAATCCATCTTTAACATGGTGAAGAAAACTCTGACAGAGCTAGCAGTTTACTATCTTAATACAATGTTTGTCTCCCATATTTTTAGCAGGCTGATTGTTTTCTGAACATGATTTCTCTGGGTTTGGTTTTACTGTTAATTTTTATTTTTATTCACAAAAGTAAGACAGGGAAAAACTCCAGGAGACATCTCCATTTTATCCCAGTATTTAGAGCTGGTCTCCTTGTTAGGATTAAAAAGCAGAAAAGTAGGATGTCCATTTTGACATACAGAACTGCTAAAATGAGCAAATCACTTGTTCAGTAGCCCAACTTACAAAAGTCTATCTCAGCTAAAGTATCCTGGCTTTCACTGCTAGTTTGCATTTCTTTGTACTGATTTGCAACAGGTAACGGGAGGACACACCTTCAGGCTGCTTTGGAGAAATACTTCAAAGACATCCTCAGGCCAGGCCAGGTGGAACCACTGGGATTATCTGTTCCGACCTTGAGCATCCCTGAATTAATTCCTTTTAGGAGTAAAGAGTTTCTTTGGATTCCCTCTCCTGCCTCCCCCCTCAAGCTCCATTCCTGAACTGGTAACAGAGAACCTGCCAGCCTTTGTAAATTGTTCCCATAGTTAATTAACCACATTCACTTGAAATATTTGCTTGCTTCTGTTCAGAATTCACCTCACTTCCAGCTTTTGGCCACTTTTTATATCTTTGGCTAGACTGAAAACTCTTCTGTTATAAGATTTCTGTTTCCCACGCAGCTAATATGGGGCAGGAAACAGACCTCCCAGCTAACCTGAACAGTGATCTCCAGTAAAAAGTTAAATCCTATCACTCATTTAACAGCAGAATAAGGATGTTACTATCATAAATCAGGTCCAGACTGGAGCAGAAGTTTAGCAAAATCAGATCATATCCTCTATCCAAAATTCCCTGTAAGCTTCTCATCACTTCCAACAGGTCACAATCTTCTTTTTTCCCCTCTCTATGTTTCCAGAACCTGTT